GAGGGGTGCGAGGGGCCGGGGGTGTGGCTGAGGTGCAGGTGTCAGAGTGGGGTGAGTGAACAGGGGGCTGGGGGGTTCAGACCCCCCTCCCCTTGGGGGTTCGGGGCAACGGGGGTAAGTTAGGGGAGCGGAGGGGGACCAGTTAGGTGCAGATGGGTGCAGGGTGGTGGTGGATGCATGCAGGCAGGCGCCAGCCTCTTCTGTCCCCGCTTCCCGTGAGTGTTGCCCTTTCCCCGACTCACCTCCCGACAGCTCCCCTTGCCCGGCTGCCTGGCACGCAGCCTCCCGCAGCTGCCAGGAGCTGCGTCCCCTCAGGGAGCATGGGCACAGCGGCTGCTGGGGACCCGTCGCCAGACTTGTCCCGGATCCCTGCTCGGGATGCTGTCCCATGCCAGGTGCTGTGTCTGTGGGCAGATGTGCTCTGTGTCTAATTATCTGCGGTGGCCCTGTGCCATGCCTGTCACGGTCTTGCTACTTTTTTAAGCTGCTCTCTCCTTGCAGACTTAAAGGGCTGGTATGTTAGATCAGCAGTGCAAGCATAACACAGAGCTAAAACTCACACTCTCCCATCAGTCGCTCTGATGGTGTATTAAAATCCCTCTTGCAGAAGAAAATTCAGCCTAGTGGTAAAAACGATGGTGAAAAATCTACCATGTCCCTCAGTTGTTTCTTAATGGCTTCCGTGGTTAAAAATGCCCCCTTCTTGTCGCTGCTTTACTCCCTGGCAAATCTCATGCTGATTTTGCCTGCTGAAGAATTCACCAACTTCAGAAACCTCCTCTGTGGGGACAGACCTGGATTGAGGTATCTCTTCTACATGGTTAATCCTTATTTTGCTCTGAGATCTGGAAATCCCTCCCTTATGGCCCTTCCTGATGTCTGCAAATTGGAGGTGTCTTTCTAAAAAGTCTGGATGTTGGAGCTGGACTGGCTCCCTGCTAAGGCCTCACCAATCCTGCACAGAGAGGCTCCACCATCTTTACTGAAAGCCTTGATAATCCCTCTTCTCACGTCATAGTGCTGCCTCAGTTGTATTTATTGCCAGGGGCCTTTTTGAGATTCCTTCCAGAGTGACTGCTGTCTGCATTTGGGTGTCCTGCCTTGCGGTTATGTTCTGGCAGTAAAACCTAGCACTTAGTGGATTTTGACCCCTGTTATTTTATACACATGTTTCAATGCACGTTTTCATTTGAAATGTGATGGCTCTGTGGCCTTTCCCTTTACAAACCATGTCAGTCTCTGTGTTGCATGTGAGCCTCATCAGCATTTTTCCTTCTCACCTTGCCCCAGTACTGCTGCCTCCCCCAGGGCTGAAACAAGGTGAGATGTCTTGTTCGTTGGTGTCTTTTACTTCCAGTATCATCTTTCTGGCAAACTGGGGTGACCGAAGTCCATGTGCTAAGCCCGATCTTTGCTCTCAAGGCAAAGCTGGAGGCAGAAGTATGAGGGAGAGTGTCAGCTCTCCATGGGTTACTTCTCTTTTGTCCATAACCATTTCCTCCCACAGAGGATGTCACACATCTTTGAAATGTGGAATTGGAGGTTATACTGGAGCTTTCCAGCCTCCACTTCTTCTTTGAAGGCAGAGGCCAGGGAAGAGCCAGCTGGATCAACAGGGCAAGGAGGGGAGGAGAGCTCCCTGGGGTGCACAGCCCAGGGACTTTGAGCTGAATCTGGTGAGGGTCAGAGTGACAGGAGCTTCAGGGTGCTCGTATGCTTCATGTCCTCCTCCCTGCATCCCCATGGGAGCTGCCCAAAGCTGTAGTCTGCTGCTCTTCCAGAAGGCCCTAGGAACAGGGCAGGAAGCCCCCCTACAATGAAGCTGTCTTCTCAGCCCAGCAAGCAGCAACAAAAGGGCCTGGAGGCCTCCTTGATTCTTGATTTGCCACATGAGGGTTATGCATAGTTTCAGTCGCGCGGAGGTGACGCCACCCCTGGGAGACACGGTCCTGCCTTTGCCTTGAGCTGGCTGCGATCTGTGCAATGGAGCAGCGAACTGGATCAGGGAACTCAGTCTTCTGACAAATAACCTCTGCTGGTGCCTGGGCTGTGAGCAGCGAGATTTAAGCACTTGTTGCTTGGGCTGGAGAAAGCGGTGGGCTCTGAGATGCTGCCCCGGACTGTGCGCCTGCGAAGCAGATGAGTGGGACTGCGTCCCGTGGGCTCCCTGCACCACAGTGTCCCGTTCCTGCTCTCAGAGCTGCCTGGGGTCATCATGCTCTCTGATTCAACCTTGTATTTACTTCAGCCACATGAGCGTCACGTGCATGGAGAGCTTTTACTGCCACATGCCCACGCCATGGATCAGATGCTCCTTTCCATGGGGTCCCTTAGGTCGTTGCTTATATCTTGTTATAGCAGAAAGCACTGACACCCCAAACCTCTCAGCAAGGTTCATCCCAATAAACCTTACTGTGGTTAGAGATGCCATAGCCTGTGCAGAGATGTTGTCTGCCTGCCAAGCCAGTCCCAGGAGGACTCAGTATGTACTGATAGTGAACGTCTATACAGCTCTCTCTGATTAACAGTGTATTATGTTCTTTATAAATGGCATTGTTCCATTTAAAATGAGCTGTTTTCAACGAGCTGGGCAGTTCTTGTGTTGAGCAGAAAATGCAGAGTTTAAAGAGCCAGTCACTTCTGTTAACTTGCTTTCAAACAGTGTGATACCTTATTTCCCTGGTTGCAGTATGCGAATGCCCTGCAGTATCATATGGCCAGCAAATAATCAGAGAAACTTCAGTCCTAGTAACTAGAAATGGCCCAAAATCTAGAGTGCATATATGGGAGTATCTTGCTGCAACATGTAGGAGGAGCTCACAACTTTCCTCAGCCTCGCATGGTTCACCTGTTAGCTCTCCTGCGGTGAAAGCTCACTCCTGGCCCTACCTATAGCTCTGGCAAAGTGCAGCCTCTTAGAGGGCTGTATAGCAAGCTAAAAGAAATTCTGATCTGAGGAACATGGTCTTGCAATCAAAGGCACAGCTGGGAGTTCAGCCTCTGCTTTGCCTCTCCTGGCTGCCCTGTGCTGGGTCGGCAGTCCTCCAAGGAGATTTTCAGGAGGATTGGTTGCTCCTGCGCAACCCGCTTGGTGCGAGCAAGCTGTTGGAGATGGGGCACATTGCAGAGGCTGAAATTGGAGGTTTCGTTAACGGTGAGAGGTGGCTCTTCTCTGTTGCTTGTCTGTCAACTGTCATGAGACTGTCTCCATGGGGAGGGGATGGTCTCGCTTCATCTGTTAGCTGGCATTTTGATATCTTAGAGCCTGTATTAGTGTAGAGGGAAACGCATTGCATCGTTGCGTAAATAGCATTGGGCTGATGGTATACTCCTGTCTGGAAGGAGATTGAGTTGGACATGCAATGCTGGCAGACCCGAGGGTCTTCCCTCTGCCATCAGCTGGGGCTGTCCTGTAACCACTGCTCTAACCACCAAGGCCTCCCCCTTCCTACAGGAAATTTAGCAAACCTTGCTGAATTGTTTTCTAGGGGGGTTAATCCTGCAACTAGCCAAGCCCCAGTCATTGGAGCAGCTGGCTTTTCTGTTTTGGGGTACATCTGCCAGGGGTTGGTGTGTATTTTAAGCTGCCTGGGTGTGCAGGGGGTCCTTGCAGAAAGCAAAAGCTTTCCTGGTGGTAAAACTGGCTCCATAGGAGGAGAGGACTGTACTGACACAGGTATTTGGACTGACTGTCCTGTAAAAGCCTTAATTTGCCCCAGGTGGAAGGTGACTGGCACAAGGCTCGTGCTTGGAAAATGACTGGCTCCGTTTCCAGGCTTTGAGTCACCAGTTAATGCCATCGTTGGCTGTTGTTTTCCATTCACAAAGTGTGAGCAGTGACCTGTCATTTATTTATAACTTGGAAAACATCACTTGTCGGGAGATCGAAGAGCCAAGCTTTAGGACTGAACGGAGTGGGTGTTAGCCTCTTCTTGGATAGACTTGATTTTAACAAGTAATTCCTGAAGACCTGGCTGGTTTGTAGCATTCTGGTAAATAAACAGCTCTGCTATTACACCAGAGATTGCCCTCTTGCTTGGTAGGTGAACCACACAACTTGCTTTCTATTTCATTTCTTTCTATTTTATTTTATTTATCTTATCCAAGCTGTTTTGGTCTGTTTGCGCAGCCTTCATGGTAATAGTCATTGGGAAATGATGTGTTTTTTCTGCTGTAGATGTGTTTGTTTCTGCATTTATGCCTCCATCCTGTGTTGCACTGTTTTGAGAGCAAAAGCAACAGCTGTGGCTTTCCAGGGACAGATTGGGAGTCCTTCTGTATCTGC